GTCTCGGTGGTCTCATTTATTTCAAGGTTACATCCATGCGTCATTCCAGTGGTGTGCGCAGTGAAGGCTTGGGCGAAACAGAAGGGTCTAGTCTCAGCCAAGGAGAACAACTTCCAACGACTCACCTCATATGCTTGGACGATGATGGTCATCTTTTACCTTCAAGTTCGAGTCGGCCTTCTCCCCAGCCTCCAGCGTCCATCGTTTGCCACTTACGATCCTTCGCAGTCGCCGACCTTTTTCATAAGTGAGCTCCACGAGTCCTTTGCTAGTTGGTGTAATTTCTACAGATGCTGATGATGATGATCTTAAAATGGCCATTTCCAAGGGAAAGGTTTGCCCGAATTACAATAACTACCGCTCAGAAGATGCCGACAAACTCACACGAGGCTTTTTCAATTTCTACGGTCTCGGAGAGTTCCTATACCTGACGCCAGTTGACATCACCAGAGGAGCGATATCCCCACAACCGACTCCTGAACAGCGTCGTGAAATACGCGAGGCGTTGAGGACCAATCGCTTCAAGCCGAAGCTCGTCATCAGAGACCCCTTCCTCCGTAACAAAAACTTGGCATCGAACTGCTCACACTGGGTAGGCTGAGTATGCAACGTTCAGTCATTGTTTGTACTTTCAGAATGTAGTTTATCGAGCCATTCGTGACGTGTCACTTACGCACAGATAGAATCTGTATATCACCGATTTGCGTTGCTGTTGTTGTTATGAATGCGCTAATGTAATACAGAGTTTTATATTCCCATATCGAATGAGTGTTGTGTGGAGACGAGTGAGGTGGCAGTCCCAAATCGATAATCTGTGGGTTCTGAGATAGAAAGATTTCTCATGATGAGCCTTATCGTGACGCATGGAGAACTCGGCACTGGCCCTGGGCCACTGGGTGGTGTTATTTCTCTGAGGTAGAGATATAAGTTCCTGGGTGAATGAAATCATCCTCAGAGATTCATTTGTCGCTTCTATGTGATTGATCGTGCTCGAAAAAGGCGGTACTGCGATACCCTCGTATCAAGTTTGGCTTTAGTCCAGGGTGTCCAGTATTGACCCTGCACCATCGGGGTCTGCGCCGTCGTCGCATAACGGCTAATGAAGTTAGTGGTTCAACATATCTACGATGCCTGGAGTTATATCGACGAGACGGACTACTACATGTAACACAGATTTGGAAATGGACGTCACTGCTGTCACTGTACAGACGAATTAGAGCCTTTGAGAAACATCTTGATGATCCTTTGGAGATTCAATGAAACTGCATGATGTAACGTGAGAGTTTCACGTGAGACTATCAACAATTAGTATATGGTCGTTAATGCGCCCAAGCCTGAACAACTGAGCAAGTGACAACCGGAGGATATCACCCTTCAGAAGTCATCGGAGGTCCCAGTGTGACCGTCACATGATATATCTCCCATTGGGGTTAGCATTCTTGATCCTACACGTATACTGTTGCTTTCATCTCTCGACATGAAAGTCAAACGTGCCATCGGGTGACAAGTGGCATTTCTCACAGTCTTCGACTATCAGTCAGTTTCCAGTAGCGAATCACACGTCAGTTTCATGACGCCCAGTCATACCGTATGGCTCATTCTTCAAGGTCATGCCATTTCGCATCACTTGTTCAATAAGTAATGAAGGATCGCAGCCTGCGACTCGCAGTTTCTTATCTCTCATATTCCAGAAGTATGATCCAGCTATCTCTTTTCATCGGGCAGCGGAACAGGAATCTGTTCGTTTTCGATGAATCGGGATAGTATTCAGACAAGTAGAGGCAATCGCTCTTTTTTGGAGTCGTCAAGAACAGAGCGCATAGGCATATGCGGCTCCACTATTGAAGCCTCGGATTGAGGTCTTCGATCTTAGACACTCCTCGTGACAAAAGGATATGGGAAGACAAAAGACGACTCGTCTCGGACCTGAGACTTTTTAAACCTGGGAAGCACGCTCAGCCTGGGAGGCTCGGGCCCCTCGTGGGACTTCGGGAGAGATTGCTTGGCCAACCGTCAGCCTGAGGCCTTCTAACGCGATAGGGCGGTCTGATAGGGTCCTAATAGGTCTGGAGGTGGATTCATCATCCCTGAGCAGATCGATCTCCTGTCAATAAATATGGACGCCTCCCTCGCCGAGGGACCCTCGGACTGTACTTCATAATCTACACGAGTCCGTAGGTCTGCTTAAACAGCAGATTTCCAGGCGAGAGGGTCTGTAGAGGACGTCGGTGTGGGAAACTGGTGTTGGAAGTGCTCTCCGACCGCAGTGCTCGGGATAGAAGGCCAAAGCATTGTGGTCGGCGGGCTTTCGATAGCTCAATTTCAGCGACTTGTGGTAACGTGTACGGTTTCCGCAACTCGAGTTACAGCAACAGCGCCTTGTGGAGGGGGGAGAGGGAGGCAGACTTGGATATTACCACATCTCTGTCGCTTTGTGACGCCGTGTCATCACTGACACGGTCTAGCTCGAATCGTATGACACGGTAGAGGCATAAGGATGGCGTCGTCCAGCTAGGTTCCGCTACTGAAGTTCTTATAGAACTGTACAGTGGATGTGACCGCTTCACA